GAACAGTATTTATGGGGAATAATAAGATCTTTAATATGATACCAAGAAAAAAGTGCTGACTCATCACATTAGGGCCAAAAAGGGGCTAAAAGTCTTTTTTCGATAACTCTTTAACAGTCAATATTTTGTTATACATTACTGAAGCAAAGATGTTCATCTCAACAATCTACAACTGTATATTATGATATTAGAGTCGTATATTACATAATTAGGGGCCACAAGGGGCCAAAATGTTAAATCTTTGACGCTTTATATCTCAAAAGTGGGAAATATTTTGATAAGTAATATTGAACAAAAGATGTTCAAAATAATGTTCTAAACAACTTGCAATCTTTCATTTTTCGCTAAACGTCCCCATTAAGGAGTTGAAGGGCTGGCCCCTAAATATTTCTTTTGCAAATAACTCGAAAACGAAACAGAATCTCTGAATAGTTGTTGAACAAAAAGTGTTCAAAATCCAAAGAGGTTTAAGATTAAATCCAGAAAAGGGGGCTGGACGCTCAAATTAAGGGCCGAGAGGGGCCAAAAGTCTTTAATAAATACCTCTTTAGCAAGCAAAATTTTGATATACATTACTGAAGCAAAAATGTTTATCTTAACACTCTACAACTGTATATTATGATTTTAATGTCGTATATTACATAATTAGGGGCCACAAGGGGCCAGAATGCTAAATCTTTGACGCTTTATTTCTCAAAGGTGAGAAATATTTTGATAAGTAATATTGAACAAAAGATGTTCAAAATAATGTTCTAAACAATATGCAATCTTTCATTTTTCGCTAAACGTCCCCATTAAGGAGTTGAAGGGCTGGCCCCTAAATATTTCTTTTGCAAATAACTCGAAAACGAAACAGAATCTCTGAATAGTTGTTGAACAAAAAGTGTTCAAAATCCTAAGAGCTCTAAGATGAAATCCAAAAAAAGGGGCTGGGTGCTCAAATTAAGGGCCAAAAGGGGCCAAAAGTCTTTAAGAAATACCTCTTTAGCAAGCAATATTTTGATATACATTACTGAAGCAAAAGTGTTTATCTCAACAATCTACAACTGTATATTATGATTTTAATGTCGTATATTACATAATTAGGGGCCACAAGGGGCCAGAATGCTAAATCTTTGACGCTTTATATCTCAAAAGTTGGAAATATTTTGATAAGTAATATTGAACAAAAGATGTTCAAAATCATGTTCTGAACAATGTGCAACCTTTCATTTTTAGCTCAACGTCCCCATTAAGGATTTAAAGGGTTGGCCCCTAAATATACTTTTGCAAATAACTCAAAAACGAAAAAGAATCTCTGAATGGTTGTTGAACAATAAATGATCAAAATCCTTAGAGCCTTAAGATGATATGAATAAAAAGGGCTGATTCCTAGAATTAGGGGCTGTAAGGGGCCAAAAGCCGACTTTTTAAGTCTTTAATGTTCAATGTCTTTTTACAGATTAATGAGATTATGGAAAATCATTATTTTAGAATGAAAATCTCAATCAAAATCTTATCTCATCTCATCAAGAATCGGACGGAAGACCCACTCGTTGCTCGCAACGAGATCGTATCTAGTTATTATTATTATTTTTCTTCTCGGGAAAATTTTGTCCGCGAATGATCTTGTAAAGTACACATCCGATTAAGGGGAAACCTTTTTAGGGTAAGTAGGCATGTTGTGTAGATTTGCGGAACGAAGGTCATTTTGCGCGCACGTGCTTGCAAGAGCGCGCACGTGCAACACGTGAAATGACCAATATACTTGAAATTGCCGTAACTTTTACATTTTTCGATGTAATGCTTTGATATTTAGAATATATAGACATATTATAAATGTTGACAAGATGACATTGTCAACATGCCATTTTGTGTGCACGTGCTTGCAAGAGCGCGCACGAGCAACACGTGAAATAACCGATTTAATTGATATAGGAGTAAATTTTTACCTTTTTGATGAAATGCTTTGAAACTCATAATATAAGGATATAGTAGTAGCATAGACAATATGACATGGTCAAAATAGCAAGATCTCACGCGCATGCACGTGCACTTCGCTCTGATTGGCTGAAACTAAAGTCTCAATATCTTTCTTGTTTTTTCATGAAATCCTTTGAAATTTTGAACATCGCCATGCAATAGGATATCCTACAACATGATATATAACAATTTTCATAAAAACACGTGCATACACGTGCGCTGCAATCTGATTGGCTGAAACTTTAAAAAGCTATAACTCCCTTGGTTTTCAACCATACAGGATGGAATTTGGAACAAAGATAGATATAATAGACTTCTACAAGAAGATATAGTCAACATGCACATCCATACACGTGCGTGTACGTGCGCTGCAATCTGATTGGCTGAAACTTTAAATAGCTATAACTCCCTTAGTTTTCAACCAAACAGGATGAGATTTGGAACATTGATAGATGTAATAGACTTCTACAACAAAAAGGTATGATCACCATGCACATCCATACATACCCTGCAATCTGATTGGCTGAAACTTTAATCAGCTATAACTCCCTTGATTTTCAACCAAACTGAGTGGGATTTAGAACAAAGATAGATGTAATGGACTTCTACAAGAAGGTATGTCACCATGCTCATGTATGCACGTGCGTGCACGTGAAATGAGTAAAATCAAAAATAAACTTGAATACTTTTGGATTAAATACTTTAATATTTAGTATATTAAAGTATATAGATTGTGTAGACAAAATGATATGGTCATTCCGCACATGCATTCACATGCGCACGCGTGCAATGCTAAAATTTGAATGAACTTGGTACCCTTCTAGGTAAACGTTGTTAAAGTCTCAAATGCAACAAGTTTGTCTTATTTAATGAAGCTTACAGTAAATATGGCACCAAAAGGGAGATGGGGAGCGTTTGGGGAACATCTGTAACGGTCCCCGTTACAATTAGCACTAGTTGTTATTGGTTTCTCTTTTTCCTTTGTTCTTATGACTTTTTAACTTTTTTTCTTTGTCCTGAGGAAAGGACAGAGCGTCCCGAAAATTTGACAAATTTTATTGTTCGTGTCGTTTCTAATTTTTAGTGTTTTATATACCGTACATCTTCCTGTACATGTATATTCAAAAAAAAAAAAAAAAGCTGCAACAGGCTTATAGAAAACAATTTGAGTACAGTATTGGGAGGACGACTCATAGAAATTTAAGTGAAATTAATTCATCAGGCTTTATTATTAAAATCAAGTCTAATGATGATGCGTTTACAGTTATGATCTCTCTCTCTATCTCTCTATCTATCTCTCTCTCTCTCTCTCTCTCTCTCTCTCTTCCGTCTTGATGTTTCCTGTATCTATTTATATTTAAATATTGGGCACATTAATATTCCTGAACTGTTAGTATCTTGAGATGATGATCAATACACTAATTGTCGAAGACCAAATGTGTTTCTTTTCTCCATTTTTTGTCAGTAAATATTGTATTTATCAGTTGATTTCCATTTTTATGCATTGACTGACGTATTTACCCAATTTATTTACCAAATGGACTTTAAATACTGGTACTGTGTATAAAAAACTAAAGATAATAAAAACGTAAATATTCATGTATTATTCTACGTGGAAAATTAAAACATATAATTTATCAATTGCTTTAATTAAAAAAAAGAAAAGAAATATAAAATACAACCCAGAGAATTAAAATAAATAAATATAAAAAAAATTATTATCATAATAGATTTTCAATGCACAGTCACACGTTTTGCTTGTATGTACAGTGTTTGGATTTATATCGAATTAAATCAACACGTTCGATCTTATATCCCGATCGACAGATCAGTATGCTATTTTGATTGGTTGATGCACTGATTCAGTGATTGGTTAATTGATAATCCTGATTGACAGCTCTGTAAAGAAATACCGAACCCGTGTTCGATCTCTGGGACCGCTACTGAATTTGGGGTTCGATCTCTGGGTCCGCTTCGGGTTCGCTCGGGGTCCACTACGGGTTCACTTTGGGTCCGCTACGGGTTCGCTCGACGTCAGCCCTAGCGGACCCAGTGCGAACCCGAAGCGAACCCAGAGAGCGAACCCGGGGTCCGCTCCGAGTTCACTTTCTGTTAGGTTGAGTGCGGTCGGTACTGTAAGTACAGATATATTTTTATCTAGTCCTAAAAACATAACACAGTACCAAGTCTCCAACGATGTGCTCTTGACAGTCATTTTGATGTAATTATATTTGACAATGTAAAAACAAAACACTATAAAAATGGGTAATTAACTATGCCATCATCCTGATGCAAGTTGTACTACACTGTAAACAAAGAATAGTATAACTATGGAAATGGATAAAACGAGCAATTTCAATAACAAAGTCCATACAAAACAGGAGCAGAACAAACATGGACCTCCGAAACATCAGAGGTGGGATCAGGTGCCATGTAGGAGTGAGTAACCCCTGCCGAACGGTCACATCCGCCAAGTGCTTATTTTCATGATAAGGAAAAAAACGGAGCATTCCGTCGTCAATTCAATGTATAAATAATGGACTAACAATAAAAATCATCAGTCAGCATAGTCTCAACAATAAATTGTATTTGCTGACAAGGTCATAAATAATACGAAACGATTATGTCATCAAATATTGATGAAAATATACTACACAATAGAGTTTATCATAAGGTCGTCATCTATGACGACAGCCATACTTCCCACCTTAGAAAACCACATATCTTTTATTGTTTTTTTTTTACTTTAAATGGATTATCTTTCAAAAACACCTACAATACCACCCCAGACCACACCAATTCAAAAAAAATATATATACATGCATAAGATAAAAGTAACAGACCTGAAATAAATTATTTTATGTTGCACATAAATGAAATGAATCAGGTTTGCGCAAAAAAAATCAAAAAAAAAAATAATCAAGAAAGCAATGCTTTTTACAGAATGTTCGTATCAAACAAAATGATTTTATAATTTGGTGGATTGATTCTCCGAAAATTTCTTTTACTAAAATCAAACTCTTAGAAACAAAACTTACAAGTATGCTAAGTTCGTCAAACCAGCTAGTGTGCTGTTTTTGATTGTAGTTATTTCGTTACTGGACATATATCTAAAAAAGGAAAAGCAAATGTCAAGTTTTTTTTCTTCTGGTAAAATAAATTTTGCTTGAAAGTTTATTTTTGTGAGAAGAAAAAACAAGTAAGTTTAGGTATAATTCCTTTTAGAAATTATGAATGTATCATTCTATCGCTATTCAGGTTCGGACATGCATTTACGTATACGTAACAAAAAATCATTGAATGCTTTTATCGTTCTTGATATTAATGAATCAAAACATATAAGGATATTATACTATGAAGAAATGTTACTCAAAAACATATTGGTTAAAACACTAAGAATATCCTTACAAGTACACCAGGTTCCTCAAGCCAGAAAATGCTGTGTCCTCTATCGTAGTAAGCTTGTTTGCGTCAAAGTCTCTAAAACATTAAAGAGTGAATGTCAATAGCAAGTTTTTTGATCCATGCAAAATAAATGTATGTTTATTTTTTAAGAAGAAATACAGATTAATACATAGGAAAGTTAATTATCCTCACAATGCATATATATTGAATTGAGGACAGATGATACAAACAAATAGAATATATATATATATATATATATATATATATATATATATATATATATATATATATATACAGTGAAAACTGTCTAATCTGACACCTGATTAATCCGACACACTGTGGATTCTGGCGTAAAATTTCTTTCCCATTTTAGTATTTTCTTTGTTTTTAAAACTGTGCAATCAGACATCTTGTCTATTCCGACATAAATTCATCTCCCAGTGCATGTCGGATTAGACAGGTTTCACTGTATTTCCGTATTCCATTGCAAATGATGCAAATAATAAATAAATTCAATATTATAGGGTTATTGAACTAAAATCGGTGAATATTCGCACGAGTTGGTTGTTAAGATCCACGAGCTTGCGGGTGCATTTGAACAGCCAACAAGTGCCAATATTCACCGATATAAGTTCAAGAACTCCTTTATTATATAGCTAAAAAATGTCCACATAATTTATGATAATTATTCCAACTTAAAAAAACGCAAACAAATGCTTTATTTAAAAAAACGGTATTCAAATTAATATCTGTTCTGTAAGCGTTCAATAACGCATTATTCCGTTGACCCTACCGAGCGATATGATTTGCTTATTTTGGTTTTAATAGGTCTAATATATGTACACACTTAATTTTTAATGAATAATTTCATTTTGTGTGAAAAATAAACACAGCTTACCTATATGCCACTTCATTTCACTTCAAACTGAGAATTTGACCAGACGACTTTTTTGTTTACAACGGGGCGTTTGATATTGAACGCTCGTATTCGGAATGTTTCGGGCATACTCATATACAGTTTATTTTATACAAAGTCAGCGTTCAATAAAACGTCAAGATGTTAAACGCTAAAATTCAGTATATTTTTTATTCATTAGCTATTTTAAAAAAATTATAAACCTTCTGTGAAGTTCAAAAATCTATCCTACTGAAACCATACGTATTCTTTTCTACAAGTATTTTTCAATTCAAATTCCGTTTTTGTGCAACATTACTTTCAAAATAAAAATATATTGAATTAACGCGGTATAAACGGGGTTGAGACAATTAACGCAATATAAACTGCGGAGCGTCAATAAAGAATGAGTGCACCGAATATTATAGTTTGAAGAATAGATATGCCATCAATATTTAAAATTACGAACTTTCAGCAGTCTCTTTTATATTTAACAATCATAGAATGAATCCAAACATTGAATATTACAATAAAGCGGCTTTGATATATCATATCAAATATCTTAATGAGTGATTGCCCCTGAAATATTTTTGATGTTAACAAAGAATTTATGAAAAAAAAAATAAAACGGTAAGTCGCAGTGACATTGAACCAACCACATATGATTTTTTTTGTCAAGGAAGGATATGGAGATAATGAACAATATTCAATCTCAGTCCATAAAATAATACAAAATTGGAGCAGAGCAAACACAGACCTCCGAAACATCAGAGGTGAGAGATCAGGTGCCATGGAGGAGAGTGAGCACCCCCTGCTGACCGGTCACATCCGCCGTGTGCTCGTTGTCATGATGAGGATATAACGGAAAATTCGTCGTCAATTCATTGTATAAATAATGGACTATAGATTGGTATGAAAAACGTCAGTCCGCATTTGACACAATGGTTAATTGCATTTGCTGACAAGGTCATTGTATCGACCATAGAACTTATGAAATGATGCCTTTAAACGAGACTGCTGATATTCTTGTATCATCAACTGGCTTGTCAATAATTTACCTCGTTTAATAAATTGTTTATACGTAAGATCACAGGTCAATATCACATAAAATATGAGATATAATTGGAATGGAACAAACACCTGGACTAGAGATTTTGCTAAGCATGTTGGCATGCACTTGATGAATGTCGAAAAAACGTGTCAAAAGCTGTAAATCTATCCATACCTGACAATAATTACTGTACCTGTTCATATATGTGAAAATGCCCTGAAAATAGTCGACAATGGTAAGTCACCTGCAAAACTCTACAACAAAGTGACGATATCAACTCTTCAAAGCTCGTTGCAAAGCAACAAGTAGGTCTTCCGTCCTGTTTGACCGGAAGTAGCTTTCATTTTTAACAAAAATGAGAAATAACGCCCAAAAATGGTTTGAATCCTCTAAAGCTATGTTAATTAATGCAAAAATAAGCCATTTTTTGCTACTTCCGGTTTGACCGGAAGTGACGAAGACGCAAGAAAAATTAATTTTTAAGCTCCCAGAAACATATGTTACCCAACTTTACGTCTTTGATGTATAACAAATCGCAATACTTTTAAGATATCTGGAAAAACTTTTGGCCCCTCTAGATCCCTTAATTTAAGGGTCAGCCCTTTTTCTGACATATTGTTTGAAAGATCTTCTTATTCTGCACAAATCATATTCTATATATTTTAACAAAATATTTTTAGTTTAGAAGATAAGAAGCTACATGTAAAAATGAGTAATTTTTGGTTCTTTTAAGCGTTCTCATTTTTGACCCCTACTAAGCGCCATTTTGAATAGAGAAATCGAAAAACAGATACCGATGTTCACAAATTCAATCATTCTATTATCTAAAATCAGTAGAATTTCTGCTCCAGCTTAAGCCGTCTCTGAACCTTTGTCTGGAAACGAAAGCCTATAAATTTTTGTTAAAAGGGAAATAACTAAAAACCGGAAGTGACTTTTTGAAATTTTAGTCAGTATTCTGATATAGTTTAGGGAAAAAAAGAATAATAGGGAATAATTTTAACCATCAGAATCACTAAAAGGTCTTCAGGTGGAAACGGAAGATATTAAAAAAGACCATCAAAAGTTTTGTCCAAGGTCAATATCTCGCATACTCCACAGCTAGTATGATGTCCTTGCCAGCAAATACAATTTTTCATGAAGTCATGAAGCGTTGTGTTGCTTGATTGGACTGTTGATATTGGTTTCTGTTCTATATTGCCATATATCACGGTAACATATTGATAAATTACAGAAGGCTAAGTACATTTAACTAGCATTTTTGTTATTTATGATAATGCAGATGTGTATTGATGAGGAACATAAATTATAAATTTTTTTCTTCTTTCTCAATTAGGTTTAGCTATATCCCTGTGAATTTTTTTTTTATTTTCTAAAATTTATCTTATTATTTTTTATTATTTATAATAATACAATTAGTTAGTTTAAATCTGATTTTTTGGGTTAAGGTAAGTCACTCCTCAGCTTTTTAGAAAAGTTCACGCAGAAGCTTTTACTTTAAAACTACTTATTTAAATTCAATTTTTATAACATATTTAAATTCAACAATGTAAATTTTTTAACATTCAATGAAAAAACTGCTCAAAAATCTACAAAGAAGCAATATTTATGAGGGACTATTTCTTTTGGTGGAAGGATATTTAGCAGAAAATTCTGCAAATCTGCACATTCATAAAATTTAATATAATGGAAATTTAGCCTCACATACTTTTACTAGGAGAATATTTTCCGTTTTGATATTGCTAAATATATTAAATTTAGGTCTTAATTTATAGTTTTAGACTAAGTTTTACACCTTCTCTCAACAAAATTTTCCAAAAAATGAAAATAAATTGAGCAAGTCAAGGTCAAATTTACACCATTTTTTGCCTGAAAAACACATATTTTTACAAATATTTTAAAATTAACATCACTGACCCAACCTTTTTCTTTCATTATTTTAAACTACTCGATACTTGTGACTGATCATTACTCAAGTCGTAAAAAGTTTGATATAAGAAAATTTTTTATAGCCTATTAAGTTTTCTAATACCCAAAATATGTTATTTTTTTAGTGCAGAAAGGTCACACTATAATTTCCGCGCATTAATTTGCAAGATTTGTTTAATGATAAATATTATTCAAACTTGTTTACGTAAAATAAGATTATATTTATTGCCATGCTTACATCTAATCAAATATTATAAGGGTTAAAGAAATTAACCAAAGAGATGAAATTTAAGTGCAAAAAGGTCAACTTAAATGTACCGTAGATCAGTAGGATGCACACTGACCTCCTATTTTCTTTCCGATTTTGAGTTACACTTTATGAGTACTTATCCAAAATATACTTCTCAAAAAATCCTTGATATAACAAATTTCAGGAGTGACTTACCTTAAACGTAGTGCTTAATTTTTATTACTGTCATATGACTTTTATTTATTTATTTTGTAGTATTCATATTATCTTCATTTTTGTTCCGCTTATTACAATCATATTGCTTTTCAAGTTTGTCTTTTTTTCTTTAACTAATTATAAAAATATTAGTGTTGGCAACGAGTACCCGGTTAACCTGTTAACCGTCGAACAATGCGATTATCGGTTAGTAAAACTGCTATTCGGTTACTCGGACAAAATATATTTTTCTTAGTAAATACATATAAAATAATTTTTAAATTATTTGTAAATGTATTTTGACACATTTCTCTAATTTAATTACCGTTAGGCTTGCTCTAGTGGTTCACAAATAGGATCGGTGTGTTTTGATTAGTTTAATTGATGACTTTAATTGCCAGGGGGTACGCGTTCTGAAGACCTGGAATTATAATTACCTCATTTAGACCTATGTTAGTCAGAGGGACTTTCTTTAGGAAGATGCCACCATAAATATCTAAAGCGTAGAAACATTGTTAAAGAACGGCTGACTCGAAATGGTTCACTCTCGAAATCTGTAAGATGCAACTTATTGTGAATCAAAGTATACGAGTGGACCTACAAATATTCTAAATCACCTTTTGATTGAACATATTTCGGACAAAAATAAACCCGGCTATCCATTCCCGCTCGGCAAACGCATTTTCTCCATGACAGAAAAATTTATCACAAAGTTGCAAAATCGTTTGTCCTCATTCGTTGATAAATTAAATTATTTTCTCAAACATAAACAGACTGCCTAGCTGTTTCAAGTAACGTACATTTAAAATCAATATTCTTCGAAAATATTGTATGTGGGTTTCTTTGAGTTTGCATTCATATAATATTCATAAACATTACATTTGTGGTTTATTTCTACCAATAAGTAAAACGATGAGATTGATGATAAATACGGAAACATAAAAAATCATCCGAGTAACCGGGTACTCGATCGGAAGATTAAGCGAGTAACCGGTTACTAAAAATCGTCCGATTTGCCAACACTAAAAAATATAATTAATTTTCAAAATGTGTTTAATTCTTTTAAAAAAATTATTTATCTGCCATATTTATGTGTATATATGTATATGTATTTCTTGCATGTTAATGTTTCCTTGTGATTATATTTTAACAGTGATAATTTTCGTGTATTATTTTTTTTATTCTTAAAAATTCTATTCTTATTCTTTATTCTTAAAAATAAAACTTACAATTTCTCTAAGTTAGTCAAACCATTAAGTGTGTGGTTCTTGATTGTAGTAATTCTGTTATTGTAAAACTTTCTGAAAAATAGAAAAGCAAATGTAAAGAGCAAGTTATCTTTCATATACATAATTCATGTAATTATAATTAAAATTTTCCTTGAAAATTTATTTTTGTAAGAACGTATAGATCTCTGAAAGAAAAAAAAAATGAAAAGTTAATGTCAAGATAAATTTTGCTTTTCTTCAAGTAAAATAAATTTGGATGAAAGTTTATTTTTGAGAGGAAAAAAAATCAGATAAGTTTCAATTATTTAATATGGGTATAATTTGTTTTAGCTTAGCAATGCCAATACATGGAATTTAGTCGGTATAAACAGAGTGAGGCAGTTTATGCTTTATAAGATGGATATGGAGATAACAAACATTATTCAATCTAAAAGTCCATAAAAAAAATACAAAATAAGAGCAGAGCAAACACAGACCTCCAAAACATCAGAGGTGGGACCAGGTGCCATGAAAGCATCATTGATGAATGAATTAAAGAGATAGTATAGTTTGGCTATTGAAATCCTTCTGTTATTTTAAATAACGAATTTTCATGTCTCTCTAATTTGGTCAATCATTGAATGAATCCATATACGGAATATTATATTTTGGAGTATTGGTATCCTTTAAATAATTTTTAAATTTTTAATACACTTACAGTTCCTTCAAATTTGTCAAACCACTGAATGCATTTTCTTCGATTGTGGTTATTTTGTTGTTTTTTAGGACCCTGAAAAATATTGTGAAGAGTGAATGTCAAGTCTAAGCATTTGTTCATAACCCTTACCGGTTTCACGATGCAGGTATTTTAAGAATAACATGTATAACCTCAGTTTATTTATTCGGTCATCTTAACTACATAGCATACATTAAATTCTTTGGATTGTTCAATGTATACCTGTATATTAGTTAGATTTTTGAAATAAATCAAATAAATCAAGTGAGTTACATGTATTATACTGTTCCTTATTCAGGTTCGGACAGACATTAATGTTTTAAAAAAATTCTATAAATAGCTGTTATCGTTCTAAGCATTGTTAAATCAAACACAGGATATTTTACTATAATGAATAAATACTAAAACCATATTGTTTAAAACACTAAGAAATCCCTTACAAGTACACCAGGTTCCTCAAGCCGGAAAATGTGGCGTCCTCTATCGTAGTGAACTCGTTTGAGGAAAGGTCTCTAAAACATTAAAGAGTAAATGTCAATAGCAAGTTTTCTGAGCCATGAAAAATAAATGCATGTTAATTATTTAAGAAAAATACAGATTTACACATTCGAAAGTTTATTATTTTCACAATGAAAATATATTGCATAAAGGACAGATGATACAAAGAAAAAATAGGTGACTGGATAAGTATATTTTTTTTACCTAATTTCATTGCAAATGACGCAAATAATGAATTATTTCAATATAAAGAAATTATAAACCTTCTGTGATGTTCAAAATTCTATCCTCCTGAAACCATCCTTTTTATTCTAAACAAGTATTTTTCAATTCAAATTCCGTTTTTGCGCAAATTTACTTTCAAAATGCAAATACATTGAATAAACGCGGTATAAACGGGGTTGGGACAATAAGCGCTTCATAAACTGTAAACAATAAAGAATGACTGCGCCGAGTATAATAGTTTGAAGAGTAGATATCCAAAAATATTCTAAATTACGAATTTACAGCAGTCTCTCTTATCTTGTCAATCATAGAATGAATCCAAACATTGAATATTACAGTTAAGCGGCTTTGATATCTCATATCATATACTTAAATGAGTGATTGCTCCTGAAATTTTTTGATGTTAACAAAGAATTAAAAAAAAAAAATAAAACGGTAAGTCGCAGAGACATTGAACCAACCACATATGATTTTTTTTGTCAAGGAAGGATATGGAGATAATGAACAATATTCAATCTCAAAGTCTTTAAAACAATACAATTTAGGAGCAGAGCAAACACCGACCACCAAAACATTAGAGTTGGGATCAGATGCCATGGAGGAGTGAGCATCCTCTGCTGACCGGTCACATCCGCCGTGTGCTCCTTGTCATGATCAGAAAATAACGAAAAAATTCGTCGCCAATTCAGTGTATAAATACTGGACTAACAATAAGTATGAAAAACGTCAGTCAACTATCACCGAGCAAAATTAGCATTTTTGAATTAAAATAACTTTTAATATATTTTATACTAAATTCGGACGTTTACTTGTGTAATTCTTGATCTGTTTTTAATTTGTGCTTATCTGTAGTAAATTATGTCTTATTTATCTCATTCCCTTTGAAATAGGATTAAGACATTCCAATTGACACTCTGTGACTCTGTCAAAATAATTCTTGCTCATTAGGTGTTAATGCCTCGGGATTCGTTAATCCTTTACCAATAACTTTATTTGTACAATTTCTTTATAACCTCTTTCATGTCCATTTTATCAAAGAAACACACATGTCCATCAATGAACTCAACTAGTGTCAAAAGTCAATTATTGTTTAATCTTATTCTTACAAATATCTATGTCCATGATAAGCCCTTCAGTTTGGAGGCCCGACGCTCTACCGGCCACATCCAACTCGATTAAGTCTTGTAAGATATTGTTAAAATTCATGTTTGTTATTCACCATCGTCTTTAATAAATTCGGAAACCTGATTTACTAATTCTTGGACTTTATATATTGGAAGACCATAGGGAATACGGTACCTTTACCCTTTAGTACGTTTTATTACGGCCCACAGCGCGCCACTACTTCGTTATACCCGCCAAATTCCTTCTTCCCCGTTTACGCAAAACAACGGATTTAGTCTAGGAATTACTTATACAACCTATGGCCAAAATCTAACTAGTTATATTTGGTGATAGAATCGGGACGTTCCCCTTTGTGGTGTACCTTTCACTACGCCAGCGACGTGTTCTACCCATGTGTTTAATTTCCCCCAAACATCAAACAACACGATGGACCTTTACCTTCGACCAACATGGATGTTAGCAAATTCAAATCGGCAACGGAACAGCTCTACCTTTCAATATCCTTCCACATCAGTGTGTTTTAACTGTGGAAAGTATGGAAATTACACCAAAAAGTGCCAATATCCTACTAAAAAGTCAAAATCTGCAAAACTGCGCGACGCGCACAGGGCTCAACTTTTCTCCAAGCGAAAAGAATGTCTTAGAGAGCTGCCATTCCACAGTCTTAAACAAGCTGCTTTCCATAAATGTGTTGACTTAACCTCATCTCTTCGATGTGAAATTTCAAAAACAAAAGAACAGCTCAAAAACTCAAATATCCGGATCAAAGAACTGCTTCAAAAACTCCATAACACCGAGCAAAATTTTGAGTCAACCAAGAAACAGCTCGCCTCCATTCAAACAGAAAATGCCGCGAAAGTCTCACAACTAAAAACAACAATCCAGAATCTACAGAGACCTAAACCAGAAGTACAGCATGAAATACTCGACCTGAAAATAAAGCTAAGCAATGCAAACAAGGCCAACAAAATAGCTTCTGACCGTATTTCAGAGCTTTGTACCCAGAATAAGAGACAGACCGAGGAAATCCTTATGTTGTCGACACAGCTATACACAGCAGACAAAGACATAAGAAGACTACGGGAGCAGACAGACGGACAGGAAGCCAACATCAGCAGTCTCCATTGTCAACTTGATGGTCGCATTCAAGAGATTAATTCCCTCCGCTACACAATAAACTCTCAAAGCCGAGAAATCGGAAATCTCCGCCATCAAATCGACGACCAAGTTGAGGAAATCGAAAGGCTAGAAGATATTATTGATTACGAGAGACAAAACGGACCTAACGGCATCCCTTACCCCGTGTACAACAACTTCCACGGACAGTACCAAGGCCAACAGTATAAACCATTTTATAAATGATGTTACTTTCTAAAACACGAGGACGTGTTTTCCCGGAGGCCGAAGGATATTATCACCGAGCAAAATTAGCATTTTTGAATTAAAATAACTTTTAATATATTTTATACTAAATTCGGACGTTTACCTGTGTAATTCTTGATCTGTTTTTAATTTGTGCTTATCTGTAGTAAATTATGTCTTATTTATCTCATTCCCTTTGAAATAGGATTAAGACATTCCAATTAACACTCTGTGACTCTGTCAAAATAATTCTTGCTCATTAGGTGTTAATGCCTCGGGATTCGATAATCCTTTACCAATAACTTTATTTGTACAATTTCTTTATAACCTCTTTCATGTCCATTTTATCAAAGAAACACACCTGTCCATCAATGAACTCAACTAGTGTCAAAAGTCAATTATTGTTTAATCTTATTCTTACAAATATCTATGTCCATGATAAGCTCTTCAGTTTGGAGGCCCGACGCTCTACCGGCCACATCAAACTCGATTAAGTTTTGTAAGATATTGTTAAAATTCATGTTTGTTATTTACCATCGTCTTTAATAAATTCGGAAACCTGATTTACCAATTCTTGGACTTTATATTGGAAGACCATAGGGAATACGGCACCTTAACCCTTTACGTTTTATTACAGCCCACAGCGCCACTACCTTGGTATACCCGCCAACATTCCTTCTTCCCCGTTTACGCAAAACAACGGATATAGTCCAGGAATTTAATTTACAACTTATGACCAAAAATCTAACTGGTTATACAACATTTGACTCAATGTTAAAATGTATCTGATGAAAGGACATTGTATCGACCATAGAACTTACGAAATTATTACTTTAAACGAGACTGCTGATATTCTTGTATCATCAACATATGCTTGTCAATAATTTACCTCGTTTTAGAAATTGTTTATACATAAGATCACAGGTCAAGATCATTTAAAATTATATGAGATATAATTGGAATGGAACAAACACCCGGAGTAGACACTTTGCTGAGAATGTTCCCATGCACTTGATGAATGTCGAAAAAATGCCTCAAACTATAATTGCTACAACAGTTCGAATATGAGCATATGCCAAGAGATTAAGATTAAGATTAAAAATATCTTTATTGAAATATGTATTATTAAAAGTAAATAATAAATAGCTTATGTTGCCTTAATGAAAATCGTAATTACAGGTGAGACATTATATTCCTCTTTTATGATTTACATCAAAATAGAAGTAAATTGTATACATGTATCTAATTAAAATGTACTTACAATTCATATGTGTCGTTGGGGAGTGTGGAGGGTAATTCTGTTAATCCTTTTTGAACGCAGTCTGCGAATTGTCCAGAGCATTTTCTCGACTGTGTGCAGGTGCAAGGGCTACAGGCTTCAATCATAGAGTCAAATGAAAAAGCACAGAAAACCAACGCCCATAGTGTCCAATTCATCTTACAAACCGGTATGCTATGTCTACAACTTGTGTCAAACTCTGCAGTACTTAGGAATTCACTTTCTAACATTCCTCAAGGATGTTTTATATTGTAGATGTAAATAAACACGGATATACAACACAAGTAAAACGGATCTTGCTTTATTTACATCATTTGCTCATTAACGGATGATCTTAGTACATGTAGTACTATGATCACTGTAACCAATCTAATAATTTACCAAAAAAAAAAAACCACATAAAAATCTAAGTTGCTTACTAAATAACTATTTTTGTTTTGGCGATACAAAATATAAAAATATAGAGCGAACAAAATAAATCTATTCTAGCTAAAATTAGCATGTAAACAAACCAAATGACCTCTCATTTCAATACATAATTCTATGCATATTTTATGCCTGAAATGCACCTTGGTGCATATCATTGTAATCTTTTGACATTATACAATTATGGACTCTTTTGGTGTTGAATATGGTTTGTTATTCACCAGAAAAATATTCATATTGACCGAGGCGAAGCCGTTGTTTTTATTTTTTCATTGAAAACAAACCATATTCAACACCAAAAATTTCCATAATTGTTTTATTATATACATGGGATTTGAATAAAAAAAGACAGTGAAGGCTGTATGACGACACCATTTTCATTTGCGATCTGCCATTGTTGAAAATAGAAAAAATTCTCCAGACTACTCTTTGTAACCTCCGTGTTTTCTTTCTGAATTTTGCTATATGTAAGACGTCCAAATGTTAAAAAATAATCCTGAAATAGGTTTGAATAATTGTTTTTCTGCTCATATACGTAGCTCGCTGCGGCCGGTGCATGCATTGTTTTCAACGTTGCTTGACGTTATGATTGTGACGTCACAATGCCGTTACACGCGCAGTGACCCTCCGGTGAATACGGCCACAATTGTTTACAACGTTGTTCGATGTTCTGATTGTGACGTCACAATGCCGTTGCACGCGCATTGAGCCTCCGGTGAATACGGCCTAAAATCCGGTGAATATGTAGTGTTATGAACTGTTTGCGTTTGTATAGATTATATAGGGACTATAAATAGACCATATAATAATAACTTTTATTCTATACCCAGAAAGTATCACAAACCTGTGAGTTGTTTTTATTTTTATCATTGAAAGGGAGGCATGCAAATTTCCTACATGTGCTACATGAAGGATATGGAAATAACGAACAGTATTAAAGCCTTTTGACCTTCACTCTTTAATTGTGGCCCTGATCCATTTCCCTTTCTATGAAAGTACAAAAATAATGATGGCGTAGAAAAAGTTCCTCGCCATCTAGCGTTAATTCAGGTAATGTATGTTTTTTGCACGCCATCTAACGACAATAGAGTGAATAATCGTTAGATTTGCATTGGTGATCGTTGGTTTTGCATCGGAGTCTGTTGCATGATTTTGCAAACGAGTCTGTTGATTTTGTTTTTAAGGTTGTCTGTTTTGTATTTCATTAATATGTTTATAAAATTAGTTGTTAGTTTTGCATAAACGTCTTTTATACCCTTTCCGCCGCCCATATTTATTATTGAAAATGCCAAAATAAAAATCTTAAAAATACATATGGTACCCTAAAAAAAAAATCTTAGGCACAACATAGACAGAAAACCTGATGTAAAAAATAACTCATTAGATGAAAACAACAACAAAAAAAAAAGAATGTGCCTTATAATTAGATACGTTTGTTAATTATATGTCAGTATTTGTTGTTGCCGAACTCGTCCTAACTTTTCGTATCTCGAGAGTTTTCTCGGGATCAGTGATTGTACCCATATAAAGTTTAAATTCGGAAAAAATAAGTATGTGTGTAATATAGAACGGAAAGTGTTTTAACCATTTTGTCATTAAAAAATTGCTAATGTCAAATTTATTGTAATCACTTACAATGTTTTTAAAAAGCGAACAAATAGAAGAAAATACACTATAATACTTTAGACGGATTAGGAAAACACGTTTGTCATGCGTCAGTGATTAAACGTTTTTAAACTACTCGTAGTGTGCGCCTTCTTCATATGGGGGGTGTTGGGGGGTGTTACATTTACAGCTTGAAAACAAATAAATTCGTGCAATCAAGTTAATAGGTAGTGCGCTTTATAAAATGTCTTGTATTGAGATCTAGAGAGAGAGAGAGAGAGAGAGATCCTTTTTTTATTATCAAGAAATAAACGAGCATTCGTGGTAGACAGTATCTTCTTAGATGATGTATTAAATGGCGATCTTAACTAAATTATCTTGGGCTGCTTTTATTCTATGTATGTAACAGGCCTGAAGCAAGTAATTTCAGTTTTAGGGGGGGGGGGGTTCCAGAACCAAACCTTTTTTTTTTAGTTTAGAGTCACTACCGAACAAGTCCTTGGGAATCCAAAATGAAAGATTGTTTTTTATTGAGGGGGCACAAGGATACAGTAGCTAAGTTTTATATAATATTACATTGTTTATTTATGGACTTCATTGGGGGGGGGGGGGGTATCCCCAACCCAGTTTCTATATACGAACGTGTGTACATGATGAATATCTATTTATATATATGCATTGTAAAAAGGCTGAAAATATGCATTTATGTAGGGTGGTGCATTTTTCTTAGTAAAAGGTCTTTTCACGAGAAAACCATGCAAAAGGTTATGGGAGCAAGGTTCTCTGATCAACTTCATATTTTGTGTGTAAATTTCGTCTATAATATGAAATATTTTGTCACAAATCTTTTTTCAGTGTGGTCTCACTTAAGGGGTTAAATCGACACTGTTACTAAAAATAGAATTCTTGGTCCTTACGCAGGGTGAAAACAGGAATTTTATATGATTTTATATTTAAAAATTTAGTGTTTTACTTGATAATGATATGAAATATCCATATATGGTTGAAAGTAACAAGATACACTTGTTTCGGAAAATTTTTCATAATCACAAACTGTGCCCCTGTTTAACTGCAAAAAGGTCACAAATCTGACATATTTCCAGATTTTTGAAAACTAGTGAAAATATTCACTTTTCAAAAACCTACATTGTATAACTCAGAAAGTGACGCTTAGAATCAACTCAATCTCATACCAATTATAAGACAACATGTATGTCTACATTATATAAAAAATCTGTCTTTGGACTCTAAAATATTTTGCTGTACTTTTTACTTAAAGTTGGACATTTTTGTGAATTTTCAAATTTTCTCATCCCTGAACTTCAGCAAGGAGTTATTTTGCTGATTAAATATTTTCAAAAAATTAAATTTTGCTGTTGAAAAATACCAGTATATAGTTCATTTCTGTTCTCAATCAATAATTATTTCTTAGGGGGTTAAATGGGGTTAATTGGGGGGGGGGGGGTTACCAGAATTGTATTATTTTACATTTTCTTTGAAAAGGGTGATATTCACATACTGCTTAGTACCTGTTTGTCAATCAGTAGACCAAGTGTGTTCTCTCTCATCTTAAAAAAACATTTGCTTGATAAATAATAAACATGGTACACTGGTACCTACTAATAAGTAGATGGCCCCTTTTAATTTGGAGTTCACAAGGTCAAAGGTCGAGGATTATAATTCTTGATATACCCGTATGTAGATTTTAATCATTCAAAATATTGAGAACCCATTGCTTGGCAGACATCAAATTTAGTACACTGGTTTCTTGAAAAGTAGAGGACCCCTTTAGATTTTGAGGTCACAATGTCAAAGGTCAGGGATCAAACTGAACAAAAAGGAATACCAGAGCCATTCTCTTGACAGACATATTGTCATGGCAACAAACTCAAAATGAATGAAGTTTTAAGGTCAGACGACACGTTCCTCAAATAAACGTCCTGTTTCTCTTGGTATTATATCATAAATCATTTATAGTTGTCACTCTCTTCTGATTTCTACATTGTTTTCAAAATGTTTTTTAGATATAAATAAACCAAAAATTATGATATAGGCCATTCAAGAGATTACCCATAAGGGTTATATAAGAAATATGACCCCGTGGTATCTTGTCCAAATGCCTGGTAAGGTACACTAATTTTTTGTGAGGAAACTTATTTAAGTACCTCTACTTCATTGACAAATTCTTAGGAAAAATTATATATTTTTGAGGAACGTGTCGTCTGACCTTAAAAATCAACAAATAAGAACATTTATAATTTTTAATTTCATTGCAGATTAAAATTTGATTATTACTCAATAACTAAGTACATTCAACAACAAAAAAATTACAATGCTTGACTGCTTCCTGATATCTTATATTCACTTCCAAAATTAAAATGACCTTGAAATTTTGTATGCTTGAAAAAAATCTACTTGCTTAAGTATGCATCATGGTTATAAATTAAGATAAGATTTAAAAGAAAAAATCACAGTTTCCCAAATCATATTCTGAATTATTTGCTATACAGGAAATTAGTCTTTATAATAGTGTTATATTTGGTAAAACTAAAGCACTGTTGGACCTTGTTGTTGACCTTGGACTTTGATCTTATCTAAAATAACCAACACTTAAAATTTACTCTGAATTTTTGTGTATTCCTGCAAGTGAAACCTGATACATATTAAATATCAAGATGTTAACAATGTAACAATGTACATGTACCAATAAAATCTTATAAGTTAACATATATGAAATACCCTGAAATTTTTGCTACTACACTTCTTCAATCATAAACTGTCTTTTTTTCTTCATGTTTGGTACACCATTTGGGTTGATCTTGAGGTCTCAAGCTTTCAAAATCTATAAGGTGTATCCTAACTATTCTAGCATCCAATACATGTAACTTCTGGAGAAATTGAACAAGCACTGAAATTTCCACTCCTGGTTTAAAGAAGAACTGGACTGTCTCCAAATACACACAAGTAGTACTCAAAGCATGTACCTGTGAAAAAATGCATGTGGCAAATCGACAGACAGACAAGGCAATTCCTATACATGTACTATAGTATAACATATTATCTTTACCATTTTCTCAGCAGTGGCAAGTAATTGGTAATGCTTATGCTGCATTGTCTCCCTCTTCTTATTTCTGAATTATGTTCACAAAACTACATTGGAAACCCTATGTAGTAATTCTTAATAGCTCCACAGCTGAAAATCCCATTGTAAAGCCCAGTCCTAACCAGGGAAATGAATTTGAATAATCTGAAATTGCACAAGAAATATAAGAAAGAAATGAAATATTCTTTTCAAAGTATAATTTCCCAGACTTATATTTATAATAGTTGTTTTAAACACAAACCTGTCAAGGAACACATGGTGACCATTAATTTGAAAAGTCTACAGTCTGCACAAGTATTTGACAACAACTTTTTTTCTAATAATTGTGATCTCCCATAAAGAAAACTCTACTAATCCATAAAGCCGAAAATCATAAGTGTAGCCATCTTTATAACATCTCATAAATATGTGAAAAAATATTTTGTTAAATGAGAATCTTTATAATCATGCATCCCACATATGAGGCAATAATGGTGATTTAATTGACAGTGAAGACCCAGCTATCCAATTCTTCCCCCGTGGATATCCATGTTAGAATAGGTCCTCAGTACCCCCTTGTTTGTCGTAAAAGGCGACTAAATGGGGCGGTCCTTCGGATGAGACCGTATAAACTGAGGCCCCGTGTCACAGTAGGTGTAGCACTTGTGTGCGGTCAATTTCTTTACCAAAAATACATGATTTGATAAGAAATGTGTGTTTTATCCCAAAAGAAATGAAAGCAAACCTTGAATATTTACTAATTACTTGCTTGGTGACACATTTAACCAGAATTCTCAAAGAAATCACTAAATTTTATGAAATACTTGTGTGCGGTCAATTTCTTTACCAAATATACATGATTTAATAAGAAATATGTGTTTTATCCCAAAAGAAATGAAAGCAAACCTTGAATATTTACTAATTACTTGCTTAGTGACACATTTGACCAGAATTCTCAAAGAATTCACTAAAATTTTATTAAAGGCTTGTGTGCGGTCAATTTCTTTACCAAAAATACATGATTTGATAAGAAATATGTGTTTTATCCCAAAAACAGTGAAAACAAACCTTGAATATTTACTAATTACTTGCCCGGTGAAACATTTAACCAGAATTCTCAAAGAATTCACTAAAATTTTATGAAATACTTGTGTGCGGTCAATTTCTTTACCAAAAATACATGATTTGATAAGAAATTTGTTTTTATCCCAAAAGAAATGAAAGCAAACCTTGAATATTTACTAATTACTTGCCCGGTGAAACATTTAACCAGAATTCTCAAAGAATTCACTAAAATTTTATGAAATACTTGTGTGTACCCAATTTCTTTACCAAAAATACATGATTTGATAAGAAATTATATGTGTTTTATCCCAAAAACAATGAAAGCAAACCTTGAATATTTATAATTACTTGCCCGGTGACACATTTAACCAGAATTCTCAAAGAATTCACTAAAATTTTATGAAATACTTGTGTGCGGTCAATTTCTTTACCAAAAATACATGATTTGATAAGAAATTTGTGTTTTATCCCAAAAGAAATGAAAGCAAACCTTGAATATTTACTAATTACTTGCCCGGTGAAACATTTAACCAGAATTCTCAAAGAATTCACTAAAATTTTATGAAATACTTGTGTGTACCCAATATCTTTACCAAAAATACATGATTTGATAAGAAATTATATGTGTTTTATCCCAAAAACAATGAAAGCAAACCTTGAATATTTAGTAATTACTTGCCCGGTGACACATTTAACCAGAATTCTCAAAGAATTCACTAAGATTTTATGAAATACTTGTGTGTTCTCAATTTCTTTACCAAAAATACATGATATGATAAGAAATGTGTGTTTTATCCCAAAAGAAATGAAAGCAAACCTTGAATATTTACTAATTACTTGCCCGGTGACACATTTAACCAGAATATGATAAATAATTGATCATGGTTGGATAACTTTTTTATCCCATGTTTAATCCTTTATACCCTTGACAAAGCTCATGTGATATCGTTTTCATATCACACAGTTGTGACGTCACAATGGATTTTGCGTTAGAGTGATGAAGTAAAATGAAATAGAGTCCTATATAAAGATAGTGTCAAACATTGTTCGTGGTGTAAAAAACATGGGATAAAAAGAATCTCACATGATTTGTAGTTGCATCAGGACATAAGATATTGAATATTTAAATATCTTAGGTTTTGATAAAAGTTATAAAAGAGAAATGGGTCTTTCAGAAAAAATAAAGAGATAATTGTTTAATATCATTATTTTGTTTCTGTGTAAAAATTCTAGTCTGTAATAGGTAGATGTAAAGGGGGGGGGGGGCTAAAAGTGAACAACTTAAAGCATTGAATTTATCTTAAGAAAAGGGGGCAATTTGATTTTTCAAAACTATGAAAGTTCTTTCTCTCTCATACTTTTTACTGTACTTACATTTTTTAGTTTTCATCTGTATTGAAAGTATTTAACATCATACCATTATGTAAATACATATTAGACATACATGTACGTGTTTTCGAGTATATAGCATAGGCATCGAAACTGGGCGAAGACAAGAGGAGGGGGCTAAGCCCCCCACTTATTTTGGAAAGATATATATCATATTATAAGCATTGAAAATGGGGCTTATCCTTTTTGGGGTTTATTACTCCCCTCCCACGTTTTATTTGTTACCGACACCTATGTATTGGAATGATAAAGATTTGGACTGATAGATCTTCTATCCGTCTTCTCCTCTTCTCGAGAGGAGTAAATCAATGCCTAAGTGTTTTGAAATATAAATTAAAAATAAAATATTCCATTACTAAAATCTGAATCCAGAATTTTTGTCCCAATTTTAACGCACTTTGAAACATTTTTTTCAAGGTGCATAATTTTTTCAAAGTGCGTTGCCACATACATTGCACCACTTATTTTATTTTTGTATCTCGATTAAAAAATAGTTGAAGAAATTTTAATAAAATGAATTGTGTTAAAAGCTCAAATGTTACCTTCCTGATGACAAAAATTAGGGATGGGGGAGGGAGCTCAATTGTTAAAGTGTAAAATTTAAAGAAAAATTATTTAAAGGGGGGGGGGGCAAAAAAAATTAATTGCAGTTGAAAACATTCTGGTATTAACTGAAAATGCTCTGCTTAATCCTAGTTAAGAGCTACCGGAAATTAACCAAGATAGTGTTAAACCTCCAATAAACAAAGCAATGTAAGTGTCATGTAGGTAAACACTGCACCCCAGTAATGACTCAATATATTGTGTTCTCCACACCCAAGGGAGATATCCCAGTTCAAGAGCTACCCCAAATATACAGGGTTGTCTACCTCCAATATACAGGTACATGGTTTTATTATAGGTGAACATACTGACCAGCTTTGTAGTAATTAATACAATTTGAATTTTGACAAGGGCATTTCTTTGATAGTCTTATTTCCTGTGGAAAATAGAGACTTAGGTACCATAATATGAGGAAAAGAAAAAAAAACTTTTTCATTAGTACACCTTTAAAACATTATACCTGGGAAGGGGGAAGGATCCTAGTATTACTAATGTTATTTACCTGGAGACCCCTAATACTCGAGATGTCAAAAAATCGTATACACATTGCATTACACAGGAAGTCTAATTTTAACATTTATTACTGAGTATCTTGTTGGCTATAGCCTTACTTTTAAAATGAATTAGGTTAAAACAAATTATAAAAAAGAGGCCCAGGGGCCACAGCGCTCACCTGAGCACATCAGGCTTGAATTACTCCACCCCCCTCC